GATTCTTCATCCACAGTCGCATCCTTATTTTCTTTTGTGTACTTCTTTCCTTTCTTCTTTCCCATTTTCTCCTTTTCCACAAAGACTTTTCGTTTTACTTTGGACAAGGATGCCTTCTCCTGCTCCTTCTCAAGGGCATTCCTGACTGGTGTGTCTGTAAGAATTTCAGTTGTTCTCCTTTTTCTGGTCTTCGTTGTCTTTCGGGGCCCTGCTTTCGGGAATGGCCTCACCAAGACAGGTGAAAAGTCCTCAGTGATAAATGACGTTCCAGCAGCAGGCATGGTGGAAGCGATGGAAGGTGGTGCAGTGGCAGGCACGGTGGAGGTGATGGAAGGAAGTGCAGTGGCAGGCATGATGGAGGCAAGGGAAGGTGGTGCAGTGGCAGGCACGGTGGAGGCAAGGGAAGGTGGTGCAGTGGCAGGCACGGTGGAGGTGATGGAAGGAAGTGCAGTGGCAGGCATGATGGAGGCAAGAGAAGGTAGTGCAGTGGCAGGAACGGTGGAGGTGATGGAAGGAAGTGCAGTGGCAGGCATGATGGAGGCAAGGGAAGGTGGTGCAGTGACAGGCACAGTGGATGCAAGGGAAGGTGGTGCAGTGGCAGGCACAGTGGATGCAAGGGAAGGTGGTGCAGTGGCAGGCACGGTGGAGGCAATGGACACAGTGGAATCTGGACCAGTGGCTATCTCAGGATTGTGTTGACGGTCAGTGACACAGGATGGTGCAAAATCAGTATCGCTGAAAATTTCCCTGTTGAAGGGCCAAATGCCTGTGCACCGGAAGCCAGCCTGGATATTGGATGGTGTGGCAGCCATTGGGAAAGAATCCCTTACAATTGCTGGTATGTCATAAATGGACATGGTCGTTCCAGGATGATGTCTCATCCAGCTGTCAGAGAAGGTGTAAACCAACTTCTTGAAAGGCAGTTAGTTCCCTGATCTGTCTGCACAACCTTAGGGAGACCATAAGAGGTGCGGGGGGTAGGAGAGGAGAATAATGCCAGATTCCCGACAAAAGTCAATTCCTCGCTGTTACGTCCCGTAAGATCCTGTGTTGGGGTTAGTGTTTGTGGTCCCTGTGTTTTGTTTTCTGCTCTCTCTCTCTAGGTATGTGCCGGTGCTGTGACGTCAATCTCACAGCTGCAGCTGGTTGCTGCTAATCAGCTACTAGTATCAATCTCGCAGCTGCAGCTGGTTGCTGCTAATCAGCTGCAGGGATAAAGCCTCAGGGCTGGAGTGGATAAGGGAGAAGAGTCTGATCGTGTTGGAGTCGTCTCAGGGTGCGCTGTGATCGACTGTTGAAACGTGTTGGTGGCGTGTCACCGTGTGTGCTGTGCTGCTGCGATCTATTGTGAAAGGTGTCGGGGAAGGACGGTGCGCTTTTGATTAACAATTATTGCCTGTCCCTGTTGGTGTGTATTAATCTTGTCTCTCTTTGTTATTTTACAGACGACTGTTTTTGTTACAATTCTCAGCATCTACTATTTTTCTTGCAAACTGTATAGTTGTCAACTGACCGTCTCCGGTGGAGATCGTTTTCCGTTTGCTGCTTTATTATAATAAATTTGTTAAAATTTGAACTCGTGTGTCGCCTGCTTGACTTTCCACCCCGGGAATTAAATTAGTTATTGGTCCCACATCCTCTGGATGCCGCCGGGACATAACACTCGCAAAGACATGTGGGAGTGATGATTGTCAAGGATCAACAAGATCTTTTGTGATGGAGAGGCTCTTTGTATGGACTTGGAAGTGCCTCAAGAACTCTAGAAAGTCTTCATCCTGCATCCATCCTGATTTGTTTGCTGTTCCTATACAGCCAGGGGGGCCATCCCTGATGAAATGAGGGTGAACGTTTACCCTGGGGAACACAAAGTGTGGAGGGATTGCATTCACCAGTGCATTCACTGCACATGCCATAGTTACAAGTGTTCCACGCTCTCCAGACGTTACTCCCCCCACTTGCTTTTGGCCTCTTCTGGCAAGAACCTTCTCTGGTTTCTGCACAGTTGTGACCCCTGTCTCATCCATATTCCAGATATCATTGGCAGTGAAATGGTGTTTTTGAATTACCTCTGCCAGATTGCTGAAAAACTTGGAAACGTTGGTTTTATTAAAGCTAGTTGCCCTAGCTAAGATCATGGCTTGTGGCTGTCTCAGGGAAAGGTTTGGGTGCCATTTCAGGAAACCATCTAACCAGTCAGCCCCCGCCAGTCCGTGCTCATCCCACGACTCGAAAAAATGCAAACATCAATAGTCAAAGTCAACATAAACTAATAATAAACTGTCCATTCTACACAAATAATCATGAAACATGACATATTCAGCAATTTACTATCTCACCTCTTTGGAACTTAAACCAAAATATAGGTCAGCAGCCTTGAGGAGATACTCTGACAAGATGGTCTCCTGCTCTGCCTCGAACACTTTACTGGCTGGCCGGTATCCTGTGCTCACAGTAGGTGTGCCCTCTCTCACTGTCAACCTTGCCTTCCTAATGAAGCGATATAAAGTCACATGACAGACGCCATGTGACTTTGCTGCTGCCCTCACTGACTTTCCTTGTGCAACTTCACTGGCTGCACTCTCAAACTATCGCCTAACGACTACAGCCCCATTGACTCCCTGTGCCAATGCATTGATGAAGTCAACAGTTGGATGTGCCAAAACTTACTGCAGTTAAACAAAGACAAAACTGAAGTAATTACGTTTGGAAATAAAGATGAAGTTCTCAAGGTGAATGCATACCTTCACTCTAGGGGTCAACAAATAAAAACCAAGTCAGGAATCTTGGTGTGTCTCTAGAGTCAGACCTTAATTTCAGTAGTCATGTCAAAGCAATAACTAAATCAGCATACTATCATCTGAAAAATGTTGCAAGAATTAGATGCTTTGTTTCCAATCAAGACTTAGAGAAACTTGTGCATGCTTTCATCACCAGCAGGGTGGATTATTGTAATGGGCTCCTCACTGGCCTTCCTAAAAAGACCATAAGACATTTGCAACTCATACAGAACGCTGCTGCCAGGATTCTGAGCAGGACCAGAAAATATGAACATATCACACCAGTCCTCAGGTCTTTACACTGGCTCCCAGTTACATTTAGGATTGATTTTAAAGTATTATTACTGGTATATAAATCATCCAATGGGCTAGGATCTCAATATATTGCAGATATGCTCACTGAATATGAACCCAACAGATCACTCAGATCATTAGGATCACATCAGCTAGAAATACCAAGGGTTCACTCTAAGCAAGGAGAGTCTGCTTTTAGCTATTATGCCAGTCGCAGCTGGAACCAGCTTACAGAAGAGATCAGATGTCCTCCTACAGTAGTCATATTCAAATCCAAACTCAAAACACATCTGTCTAGCTATGCATTTACTGAATGAGCACTGTGCCACTGTTCGTCCGATTGTTTTTACTGTATTTTATTTTATTTTATTTTTAATTATTCTTATTTCTTTTGATTATTTTAATTTCTTCTATGTAAAGCACTTTGAATTACCATTGTGTATGAAATGTGCTATATAAATAAACTTGCCTTGCCTTGTTATCCATCCCCCTACCGAATCTTCGCCCTCGACCAAAGCCTTATCCTGTCTCACCATCCCTTCGCCCACTCCTCTCCAACCCTTTAGCATCCCCTCGTCTGTCCTTAGAGCACCCACCCTCTTTCTCTTATCCTTTCAGGCACGGCACCTTCATGCCTTCCGGGAGGGGGCATACTGTAACATTTTCCCTTTGTTTGGACTTTGTGTTCATTTTATGCCGTCTAATCTGTCGTCATGGACGCTATGTGATTCAGGGCAAATTAATGAAAAGCTTTGAAGTTGTCTGATTGTACTATCCTGCTCAAGGTAAATCTGAGCAATATATCTTAAAATATAACAAAATTACTTTTAATAACATTCTTTATAAGATATCGAATTCTTCTTAAGTTTTGTCTTAAGAACAACCTTAAAAAAACATAAGAAAAGTAGTAAGTCTTAACTTTTTCTCAAGTTATAATATAATAAGAAAATAATTGTATCCTTAAAGGACAAGGATCGTAGTTTTTGAACAACTCCATTTGACTTGACTTGGACAAAAACTACGATAAAACCTGTTGGAAAGCATCTTTTGCAGCGATTTTTGTGTGAGCATATCAGTGAACACCCCAGACCACTCGGTGAGTTTAACGTCTTTGTAAACTAAAGTTTAATGCGTTTTAGGAAGGATTGACCACAGAAACCGAAATTTCTCGGGACAGCAGCCTGTGTCCAAATTTTAATCTTAACCGTTCTATTTCATCAGAAACGATCTTGAAACAGGGCTTCAAGTGTAAAATACCGAACTTGTCCTTTAATGTTGTGAATCTGGCCGCAGCTTTCTGAGGAGATCATAAAATTAATAATTTTCTTCATGCACTCGAGAGACTGTCAATAGTTCCTCTAGTCAAACCATCATAATAGAAACTCTTTGAGGAACTTACATTTATGTATTTGGCAGACGCTTTTATCAAAAGCGACTTACATTGCATTTCACAGTACACATTTACATTCTTATCAGTTCTTGCTTTCCCTGGGAATCAAACCCACAATCTTGGCATTGCAAGCACCAACGCTCTGCTGTTTGAGCTACAGGAAAGCTACAAAAACTTTGAAACTTCGAAGGATCAGATTAACTACGAACACTTCAAAAACATATTTAAGTTCCTTGCGTTCATAATATTATATTTGAGCTTCAGTGTTTCAGTTTAAAGAATCAATCACAAATGGAGATTCAAGAATCTTTTCACTTTCACACTGTTGAGTTTGTTCTGGCCTTGAGTAGATAAAGAGATAAAGAGAAACATTCTCAAAAAAGAGTTGATAATATTAATTATATACCAGAACTACTGTAGCATGACCTTTACTTACTACAAACTGAAATAATATAGTACTGTTGTGTCATGAAAAACCTGTCCATCATGTGTGATTTCTAGTGTGTGTGTTTAACAGCACATATCTTCTACAGACTCACTGTTTTGGACAATGTCCTGCATCTTTTTCCAGACTCTGAACGTCAGGTTGCCCAAGTAACGTGGCACATGAATCAAAGCTCCAGAAGCCATCTGTGGATCCGGCTGTGAGATCTGGACTCTGGAAGAACATTCAGGAGTCAGAACTGCAGTGGCTTTGGATCAGAAGCAGAGAGACCAGAGACACCAGCATATCACTCACCTTTCCATTGAGACTGGAAACTCCTGCAGAACAAACACACCATTTATCATCAATAACTCAATCAATAATCAATCAATGATCTGAAATGAGACCTTCAGAAAGTAGACGTCATTGGCTTTCATCATCTCCTCCATGTCTTTGATTGTGTGTGAAAGAGTTGAGATGTGTCTGTTCATCTCCTGCAGTTTCTCCTTCATCATCTGCTTCTTCTGCTCCTCTTCCTCCCTCAGTGCAGTGATTGTAGCTTCTTCTTCATCTCTGAGAAATTGATGAAGCTTCTCAAAATAATGTTTTATTAACAAAGTTCGGGAGGAGCACGTTCAGATAATTAAACCTAATTAAACACACGTGGAGCACATTCAGATAATCAAACCTAATTAGACAAGAGTGGTGCTTAATAAACGAGTTAAGCGCTGTGTATACAGCAAACTAACCTCCGTTCATTGACAGTTTAACAGCATCCCTCCACCACCCCATCTCCTCACTTATAGTCCTAATACTCTTACAACAACGGGGGGAGTACTCTGGGTTCGGGCAAAATTCCGAGCTCGGAGCCCTCCCCCCGGACAGCACGCCAAATACGCATAATCTTTACTCTGTTTAATTGATGTAAGTGTGAACTCGTGAACTGCTGTTTAATCTGATGCTCTGTGTGCTCAGCTTGAGACTGAAATCAAATCACATTCACTTCAATCATCTCAAACACGCACATTTTTCTGGAGCAGAAAAATATATCTAAGCTCAAGTTGAAGCTGCTTCCTCGAGCCCCTCCACTGCGGACAGCAAGCCAAATATGCTTAACCTTATTGGTTTAAAGATTATATGCGCAAAATAACTAATGTGAATCACATTATCTGCATTCGCCCAAACGAATTAACTTACATGAAAATGCGTAAGGTGAGCGCTTGCCAATGGGATTAGTTCTGGCACATTAGTCCTGCACACTGCTGAATAACCACCGACAGAGGCGTCTGTGCTTGATCATCATATACCCAAACGGTTGTGGTTGTGTGTGTGTGTGTGTGTGTGTGTGTGTGTGTGTGTGTGTGTGTGTGTGTGTGTGTGTGTGTTTCAGTAAATAAAGGAATATGTAGTTATGTCAGACAAATTATTTCAGCTGGTCTAATCAAACTTGTAAACAATTCAAAAGAATCAGCAATTACCTTTATGAGTTGAACTGTTTTCTTAAACTCTTCTTTAATGTTTTCTATGTGTTTAAGTTTCTCTTGTAAGGACTCCAGTGCTGATATGAGCTCCTCCTGGAAATTAAAGAGAAAATGTATGAGACACACAAGAGATATCTGTAATATGATTTTATGTGTAATACATAAGCTTAAACAAGTGTTTCCCCATCTTTAAATCTGTCTTACCTTATGTGATGGAACAACTTCACTGATGGGTCTGAATGTGTGATTGACGTGTTTATGCGAGTTAATACATACTACACATATAGGCTGTTTGTCCTCCAGACAGAAGAGTTTGAGTTTCTCACTGTGTAAACTGCAGAGCTCCTCAGACCCTGATGAACGACTCTCATTTCTCTTCTTCAGGAACGACTCGCACAAGTTTTTTAACACAAGATTAAGTGGAGGATCATCTCTTGAGGATCTTCTCCTGCAGACAGGACACTCCTGAGTTTCCTTGGTTCTCCAGAACTGTTGAAGACACTCTTTACAGAAACTGTGACTACATGATAAAACAACAGGGGCCTTGAAGATTTCACAGCACACGGTACAAGAAAAATCATCTTCAGATAGTGAAGCCATTTTCTCTGTTTGATCTCCAGCAATCTGAACTTTACTTTCACTTTCTGAAAGATGGTTTCAAAAATTATACCACAAGAATCACAAAGATCTGCTGTTTTGTTAGAAAGAAACTTTGCAAAAATCCTCATTGAAAGTTTTTCTCTTCCTTCTTCATTGATCGCTGTTTTTTTTTTTTTTTTGCTTTTGTTGAGAGAGAAGAGAGTCAGTGTAACAGAAAGAAGTCAGTCTCTTCCTGGTAAGTGTTGTAAGAGGGTGGAGTTTCTGATCACATTTGGGTGTGTTAAAACAGGTCAGGCATGAACATCAGGATTTCTTCAGGTTAAATTTTAACAAAATGCATTCAAAATGAACTTACATTGAAAATATCAAGTATAATGCTACAAAAACTTTTAACGCTTTTCTTCTCAGAAAAGGGTGGATAGCTTGCCTTAATGCCAATGGTTGTAGTCAGGTGTAAGCAAAGACTCACATAAGACGTAACTGATATTCCACAGTGGTGATTTATTATCAGTGTCGTCGTCGATCCCACGCACACATGGCATGGGTAGTTCGCAAAACACACCACTAACAACTGCGTTACTGAATAGAAATAAAAGCAGGATAAGAGCATCAGAAATATAAAACGGGCTTGTATGCATTCATGTGAAGTTCACACCTCGCGCTCCTCAGACCGGCTGCCCACTCTGAGGGAGGGAGTGACAGGTTCCACCTTAAAGGCGCAGTACCTAATTCTACTTGTTATAGATCCCCCCCGTCAAATAAAGGCTGACCCATAGCTGCCAACTCTCACGCATTGGCCATGAGACACCCGCATTTGATTGGTTTCACACGCTCACACGCCACACTCCCGATTTCTCACGCTGAAGTGTCAACCCGGGCGGTCAAATGCCTGGAAGATGAGTTTATCTATATATCTACCTGTTGAGCCACTCGTGATCGACTAGTTATACCGCAAATTCGTTAAAAATCTCCCGTTATCTAGAGCGAGCGTGCATGCGAGACAGAGATTGTGCTCCAAACCGCGTAGAGCGAGCGAGAGACCTTGCGCGAGCGAGACCCCCCCCGTCAACAAATCTCACTCGTCTCTACCCCCCCCCACCCCCGTCAACAAATCTCACTCGTCTCTACCCCCCCCACCCCCCCCCCCCCAAATCTCACGCCGAGCAAAACTCAAAAGTTGGCAGGTATGCTGACCCCAGCCGTACACAACCAGGGAGCATTACTGTTTCACTTAACAACCATACATACATGCTACAGTTTAAAAGCTGTTACAGGGTGAGAAAAACTAAAATAATGCACAACCAGTACAGTCCCACAAATCCATACATTGCACTTAAAGGAGCACTTCACCCATTTCAACATTAATCTTTATTGAAAGTGGGTCATATATGTAGTCGAAATGTAAAAGAAATTTTGAATTTGGTGCCCTCTTGACCGAGAAAAGACAGAAAATAACTTTTGGGCGCATTTATATGTAAGACAACAACTCCCACAATGCACCACATTGCACAGCTCCGCAAGCCACTCCCACTAATCCAGAACAGCAGCGCAAACATCACAAATCACTCTTCCGTCTACAAGGCTAACGTTAGCTGCCAGCCTGCCACCAGAGTTAGAAATTCATTTCACACAAAATTTATAGTTAGTTGGCTGTGGCGAGCAGGACGAGGGCGAGCCGAGGCACGTGAGATGACTGCGCGAGGCCGGTGGCGTGATAATGAACGACACCTGTGAGACGCACCGGTCTCTCTCGCGCCTCTCACGGAGGAGCGGAAGCATAAAACGAGGAGCGACGACAGGGCAGATCGAGTGAGGAACAGGCCTGATTTTATGTTGTGTTTTGTTTCTGTTGTGTGTGGCCAACAGTGAGGGGCTGCTGGCTTATACTTTTGTTTTGTATTTGTTTATTTTACTATTAAAATGTTTAAATGTTTGCCGGTTCCCGCCTCATTCTTCCCACAACAACGAACCCCGTTACATTGGCAAACTCATTAGCGAATTACTCCTCGTTTGTATTACTTTCTATATGGTGAATTATTGCATGATACCTGGTTCAGTCAGAACATATGCGGTGCGACACGAGGATGGTTCACATCACAACACAACCGTCCGTGTGCTCGTCTGATTCAGAGATTTCGTCCAGGAGAAATTGCTATCGTTGAAATTCTCTACAGCAGACGGACTCTATCTGTGTCCGTAGCGCACAGCGAGAGCACAGGCACCAGCAGTCCGCCCAGCTCGAGCCAGTCCGGGCTCCTCGTCCGCCTCCTGTTCCTCCATCAGCCTCAGCTGCTCTTCACTATATTGCGGCTCGTATAAATAGCCATGAACATCAGTTTCGAGCAAAAGATTTTCAAAATCCTCGTCTTCCATATCGTGTGTCGTAAATTCAGGCATTATGGTAAATCTAACTCCTTGAGCGCTTGTTAGCTTAGCTTGCTGTCTTCCAAGCAAGATGGCGGATTAATAGTTTAGTTTCTTCAGGTTTAGTCCCACCCACTGATCTGTAATAGGCCGGTGGGGTGAGTGGGTCCCGCGCCCTTGAATAATAATGAGCTAAAGGCTGTAGTTTTCTTAATATGCAATGAAATTTATCTTCCGTCCTATCGTGACGCAAAATGACGATATTTACGTCACGATAGGACGGAAGTAAAACACTTAAATCCTTTTTTCTCCCATCTCAGAAAAAAAACAAGCAAAATTCCACCATCATTATAATATATGACTGGGTTTCTAACAATACAAACCTTAATGCAAATGGGTGAAGTGACCCTTTAAGTTCAATAAAACAAAACAACTGTGTGCAACACCCACATATGGAATACATAAAAAAAAAAACTTTAAACATCAAACCTTGAACTTTTGTCAGTAAACAACAAGTGACAAACAAAACCATTGTTTGATCTCTCCTTATCTAATCTTGCGTGTATGATATGGGTTAATCCACCTATTTACTGTCCAGTCAGAAGTAATTCTGGGTTCTGTCTCGGTCTCAAGTTATAACAGTCAGTACCCTGGAACGGGTCATTTCATTTGTGTCAAATCTGTGAGTGTCAAAGTCACGTCTCATGTCAGAGTACTCCGTGTCTGCAAAAACAGCACCGTCAAGCGTCTGTTCAGGTAAGCTTTCTGAGGAAACGTCATTGGGGAGTTCGGTCAACCAGTCTCTAGCAACGCTTAAAGGGACACTTCACCCATTTGCATTAAGCTTTGTATCTTTAGAAACCCAGTCATATTTTTGAATGGTCATGGTTTATTCCCTTATTTTCCCCTGAGATGGGAGAAATAATGATTTAAGTGTTCCACTTCCTGCTTTTTATGACGTAAAAATCGTCATTTTGCGTCATAAAAAGCAGGAAGTCCCATTTCTTTGTATAAGGGTTGAGACTACAAACACTAGCTCATCATTTATTCAGGGTGTGGGACCCACTCACGCTACAGACCTATTACAGATCAGTGGGTGGGCCTTCACTTGCAGATACTGAAATCAATATCCGCCATCTTGTTTGGAAGTAGTGGGGATGTCCCGATCAGGTTTTTTTGCCCTCGAGTCCGAGTCCGAGTCATTTGATTTTGAGTATCTACCGATACCGAGTCCCGATCCGATACTTATATAATACATAAAAAAAGAATAAAGAAGAGAGAAAAAACAGATCCAGGATGTTCCTTATTTTTTATTTAATTCACCTTATTTTAACATTCAACAACTCTGTTAACAAACAGAGCACTTCTGTGAGGTAACTTGAACAATCAAGTAATAAATAACATAAAATCTTCACTTTTGGACTTTAGTGCAAGTCAATATAAAAAAGTCTAATATAAAAACAATTAGCACCTCAACTTAAAATACCCGGCAGGCATGTAAATAAAAAATAAAAATGTTTTAAAAGTGTATACAAAATAATGAGAATATATACATTAGGGGTGTAACAGTTCACAAAATGTGCGGTTCGGTTTGATACAATACAGCAAAAAGAAAGAAATGCCAGAGAAATTTCCTATTTATTAAAAGAAAAACTATTTTTAAATAAGTTTGAGTTTTCCGACATCTTGAAAGTTTCAGGTTTATAAATGGGGGTAATCTTTGAAGGATGAACAAATAATGTGTTGGTAATCACATTAAAAATAACATTTAAATATATATTTATATAATATTTGAATTTTGAAGTGCAACATTAAATCCATGTTCATTCATGGCACAATGTTTCTCCTGGTTCCCACGTCAGCGCTGTTTGATCTAATAGAGATCTACGGTTAATAACGGAGAAATTTGAATCTCTTAGCACAGTGTCGCTTGATCTCGCGCTGCACAGATGTTGCTGGTCCGAACTGATAAACGGTTCGTGAAGCACAATATAATGAGTAGCGCAGTTTCGTTCCGCTTTCATTACGTTTGCCATTTGATGTTGGTGTGTCGCGCCAGCGCAGATTTTGTCCGCAGGAAAAATGGTCCTAGGAATCGTTCGGTTTGTATGCGTACCGACCCGGAAGCCTTGTACCGAAACGGTTCAATAATTAGATTACGAATACATGTACCGTTACACCCCTAATTTACATATATCCGAGTCCTGATCGGGAGGTAACGTCAGATTCCGATCGAGTCTGAAACAACGTGATCGGGCCCGATTTCCGATCGCGTGATCGGATCGGGACATCCCTATTTGGAAGCTAAGCTAACAAGCGCTGTGGAGATAGGAAGTAACCTGCCCTGTCGTCGCTCCTCCTTTTATACTTCCACTCCTCCGTGAGAGATACGAGACCGGTGCGTCTCACCGGTGTATTTCATTATCACTCACGCCACCGGCCTCGCGCCATCCTCTGACGTCCCTCGGCCTCGTCCTGCTCGCCACAGCCAACAAACTAGAAATTTTGTGTGAAATGAATTTCAAACTCTGGTGGCAGCTAACGTTAGCCTTGTAGACGAAATAGTGATTTCTCTGATGTTTGCGCTGTTCTGGATTAGTGGGAGTGGCTTGCGGAGCTGTGCAATGTGGTGAATTGTGGGAGTTTGTTGTCTTACATACAAATGCGCCCTAAAGTTATTTTCTGTCTTTTCTCGGTCAAGAGGGCACCAAATTCAAAATTTCTTTTACATTTCGACTACATATATGACCCACTTTCAATAAAGATTAATGTTCAAATGGGTGAAGTGCTCCTTTAAGGCAGTATCGT